AATAAATCAATAGACAAAGAGATACATTTGGCACATGAAACAGAAGAGCTGTCCCTGCCACAGACTGGAGTCGCTCAGCCACTAACTCCTGCAACAGAGGAACTGCATTAGCTACACCTCCTCTCCTCTCCTCTCCTCTCCTCTCCTCTCCTCTGTGTCTGTGGCAGGCCTGTTCTCAGGATGATGCAGGCCAGCAGGAAAGGCCCGCTGGAGATGTGCGGTAACATCAAGAGAAATGAGATTTTCTCACAAGTTATGGGAGGCCTATTTCTTTATTTTGAGCACATAATACTAAAATCATAACAGAAACAACTGATAGAAGATTCTGATTATAGATCCTAAAGAGAAGCATTAAACATAGACGTTCTTATTTCACTCAAGACAAATAGTCAGTTGAAATGATACAATACCCCCAAAGTCTGACTCTGCTCACTTTCTGGGACTGATAAAACTACCCAAAGTGCCAATAATCATAATCCCAGCACTGGGCTGGCAACTTCCTGAGTCTCCATGTAGGAGAGACTTTGCTCCTAGCACTCGTTGAAGCTACCTGTAGAAACTTAATTGTTTAGAATAAATTAGTTGCCATAAACAGTACCTAAGCTTTATCATACTACTTCAGGGAACATTGATCTGATTCAGGGATTACACAGTGATGAAAGGCTATCTTTCTGTGAAGAATCCAAGTTATATTTGTTTGGGATAGATGCATGGTGTGACTGCAACTTGTTAGGACATGCAATACCACACATACCTTGTAATGCTTTTGGATATGCTGTTGGAGAGAGCAAGCACACCAACGGTTGTCCAAATAAGTTTGTGAAATTCTGTAACATATAAGAAGTTTGAAGTATTGATGGTCACTTTGCTTGCGGTTGAATATTCAGCAGGTTAAGGGTACAAAGACTCCTAATGACAGAGAGCACACTAATGCCTGTCACACTGTTTGGCACTGGCTGTACGGGTGACACCTTGACTTAGTCACAGATCACAGCACAGAAGGAATATAACCCACTACTTCTACAGGAATTACAATTTTCTTGTTTCACTGCTACTGAGAGCAGACACTGATTTCATGGAAATAGACTTTTAGTGTTAATACATTATTGGGAGAAAAAAAAAAAATCATGTTCTGCAGTAAAGGCAAAAGCCATTGGCTTTCAGGTCAAAATAGATCCAGTGTCTCTCCTCAGCACCAAATGAACTACACATCCAAGTAATTTCATTCCTCTTTTCTTTCTAGCAGGAGGAACTACTTCTTTTGAAACAGGAGAGCCCAGTGGAGAAAAGTTTTAGAATAAGTTTCCTTTAAAGCAAGTATGTCATAACCTTAACGTCTGATGTACTGAACCCTCATTTTACAGTACGCGTTTCATGCGCCTTTCACCAGCGCCTTAAATATTGCCTGACTGTCCATTGCACAAGAATTTCTCCAGAAACCTCAAAAGGACACTGTTGCCCAGTTTCATCAGCATTTATCTGATAACAGTCCTACTGTGCATCTGTCTGGTAGGTATACTGATTGGTAACAATGATCAGCAAGAAAAAAAAGGACTTATACAACCTCATTAGTTGCCATATGTCCCACCAAAACTGCTTTCTTAGAACTGAAGGCTTGTGAAGCCACAGAAAATGTAAAGGATTGTGTCTGCATCCTGTCAGAGCACACATTCAAACCATGCATCCAGAGCACAGGAGTGCAACACACATCTGCAGATTATAGCCTTAATATTGGCGTGCAGTGAATGTAAAAGTGTACAGCCCCAGAAGTATTTGCTCGTGTACAACCATCTCAAAGCTAGGGTTTTAACTCCTTCTGGCTCCTGCTTCATTCAAATGGAACTTTCCTTTCTGGGCAGTATATTTCAATTAAATTAGTTTCAGTGAATTAATCTAATCTAAGTCTGCTAAATACTAAAGACAGTAGTCTAGTCTAATCAAAATAAAACATTTCCCATATCTGACAGGGTGCTGACTAGGCCTAAACCTCCTATTTCACTAAGAGCCCAAGGGAGATTTATAATGCTAGATACTAGGGTTTGGTCTCTAATGAAGAAACAAAGACTGCTACCATGCCAACAGGAACTACAGGCCAGCCCAGGAACTGGTGAAACTGCACCACAGAGAAACCTTTCAGGCTGCAGGAGCCCCCCAGCCGTGGCCAGCCCGAAGGGAACGCGGGTGGGTTCCGTGCCTCAGCAGAGCCCCAGGCTGAGCTCCCTTGGGCACCCAGGCAGAGACCAGCAGCCTCTCCATACACTCCACCAGTAAAATGACAGTGCAATTAAACACTGCCTACAGCTTAGAGCAGACCCAAGGGTCACTCGTATATCTCAGGAAAGGTATTACTCACTGAGAGTATCTGAGATAATTTTGGACTCTGTCCCAGCAGAAGTTAAGTCAACACAGCCCCAAAGTCCTGCTAGGGCAGGAGCTACACAGCTTCACAGAGAACAGCTCCTTGGAAGGCAACTGCTCAGCCCAGTCACTGCATCTCAACTACAGATCCAGGAAAAGAAGACTCCAGCTTCCAGGTACTCTTCTCAGCTCTTGCCCAGAAAACTGCCTACCACAGCCCAGGTGAACACCAGGGTTTGCTCAGCACCACCACCACCTCTGCTCCTGATTTCCACAGAGGAGTGCTGCAAAGGGACAGAAGCATGTTACAGCCATGGCTTGGAGTGCAGGACCAGGGGAACCTGCCCTGCAGTCTGATGTTGGGAGCAGCTTCAGATAAGGAGTGCCTGACCTTTCAGTGTGTGGACAACTCCAGAAAAGGTGAACCACATTTTTCTTGCAAAACTGACTGGTTGATTGGTTGTGGTATGTGGTTGGGTTTTTTTTGGTTTTTTTTTGTTTTTTTTTTGGTTTTTTTAAACTTCAGTATTGAAGTTTTCCAACAGAAGCATTGCTGCCTTTTAAAATGCATGTCATACACATCCCTATTTCAAAAAAAGAACTACCCATCACCTCCAGAAGTCACTTCACACATAAGCTTTCCTGAGCTGAGTATTTATACCACGTCGCTGACAAAGGCCTTGCATTCTTACTAGCTGGAGTTTTTGTTTTGTTTTGCATTTTTAAGACTTTGCATTTCACCATAATCTCAGACAACCACAGCTGCAAGAAGATATTAATTTTAAAATATTCTTTCATACACATATACAGTGGTAACTTTCTAGAACACAACCATCTATATTTAAATGGAAGTGTTAAAAAAAAAATGTCACGGCTTTAAGTAGATGTGCTCAGTTTGCAGTTATCTTCCACTTTCAGCTAAATATACAGGGGAGGAAGCTGTTCAAGTGCCACTGATTTGACAAACTGGCAAGTCACTTCCTGGCAGGACTTACTTTCAGTCATCACCATTTAAGCCCTTCAGAGACAGAGAGAGAGAGAGAGAGAGAGAGAGAGAGAGAGAGAGAGAGAGAGGGAGAGAGAGGAGGAGATTGCGTGCAGGAGAGCAGAAAGGGGCTGTAGACAGACGTGTGAGCAGTTGCTGTTACTGGCAGCATTGCTGGCAGTGACATTTAAATGTCAGGACAGCTCCTGTCCTATCGGAAAAGATCAGTGCAGCCACGCAGAAAAAAAGTCAGTGTACTGACTTCAACTTCTCTTCCAGTTGCACAGCACCTCCTGGTGCCAGTGCTCGAGTTACAAAGCATCTCACAACATGCCCAGAGGACAGCCACAGGACAGCACTACCACTCTATCCTGGTGACAAGGAGCTGAGCACATAAGCACACACAGAACCACAGACAGGAACTTACAAGGGCTAGAAAATACTAAGACTGAGAGCTCTGCCATCTACCTTCAGCTGAAAACACAACCCCTAAACCCATCCCAACACATCTACCCACCTGCCCAGGTTCAATACACTGTGAAGGTGAATGTCAGTTCTCAAATGCTGAGTATTTTTTTTTTTTAAATAGGGGTCTATGCTCTTTGTTTTTTTCTTCATTCTCCTTTTAGATTCCTCACAATTGTGCCCATATGATTCTGATCTGGGTCAGAGCTCGTAGCTACCACTTCCATAATTCTGTCCTGAGATACTTCCAAACCTCACATTTCTCTGCTCCTTACATATAGGCAGAGTTGGAGCTCTCTCACACCAGCTGCCCTGTGTGCTTAACAGACGGAGCCCTGGTGTATTTTACACTGCTGGTGGTCAGAACACTGCAGAACAAGGAACAGAAACTAAATGGAGGTTGCTGTTACTATATGCCCACAACATCTAAAGAAAAATTCAATTACCAAATTTAAATGTAATACAAAAAGCTAATTCTACTGTAAACACTTGATAGTTTTTCTCCAAAGAGCTACAAATGATAATCCATCACCTCAAAAAGATACTGCGCTCTAAGCTGGCCAGAGAATCCTGGTATGTCCAGAGCTGAATCTGAATCAAGGAGCACTAGGAATTCCTTTCTCTTACAGAGCTGATTCACTTGACATCTTTCAGCAACTCTGCTAGAAATGAAGGGGGTAAAAAAACCAAAGCAAAAATCCAAACCCAAGCTACACTTTTTCCCTTGAAAAAACAAAAACAAAAACAACCTCCCCCTGTTGTTATACTGGAATGAATGCCAGGAAAGAGCAGAGGAAAACTAATCCCTACCAAATCTTCATTTTCTCAGAAAGACAAGTGTATCATCCTGATTGCATTTCCCTCCCTTTAAACAAGGAAGGGAATTTAATAAAAAGTAGATTTGTATCAAAATCTAGTGTGGTGAATTGAAATGCAGTAGTAGATAAAAGAACCTTTGAAATGCATTGCAATATAACTAACCAAAAACCCTGTAGAGAGGCCAGATCATTATTCAGACTGCTAGGTAAACATTCCCTGGCTCGATACAGAACCGGTCAGAGTCATACTGATCACTGATTTAGTACCTCTCGCTGGCCAGTGAATGTCTTTAGAACAAATGACACAGGCTGTGGAAACTGAACAAGGAACAAGTTTGTCTGGCCACTAGACGTCCCTGTTCCTCCTGAAATGCAGCTGCAAACGTTCACTTCTCTCACTACATAATGGAGCTATAAAAAGGAAGCCAGAAGGAAGCAGCACTTTCCCCAGATACAGCACATTCTTAGCATCCCATTCATGAATGAAGTAAATGTTGTAGTGCTATCCAGATTCAGCTGGCAATGGGGATTGAAAATGCCTGCTTCTGTATTACCCAAACTGCAGATTCCCAAAGGAGATTTGGCATGGAGTGATTCTACTGTAAGTCCATAGCACCCTAGGAGGGAGGCTCATTGTCCAAGCATATATCACTCTACAGTAACACTGGATGCTAATTTGAGTGTTGTTATTTCCTTGGTTCAGATACTGTTCAGCCATAGACACCCCGCATTTTATAAGATCAGGCTCAATGCTTTGACTCTTTTCTGTTGCTTAAAAGCAACTGAGTGTTGAATGACTGGAAAAAAAAAAGCAGATTAGTTACCTCCCTCCCCCATGCACACACACCAAGATTTTTCTTTGGTATATAACAAAAATAAACCTCCCACCAGAGACCTTGGAAATCTTGAACCTTTTTTCCCTCCAGGAGGATTTATTACTTTCCAATGAGCGGCTGTTCATGTGCTTCTCCTTCTTGTTCCTATTCATAGGATCAGATCCTGACTAGCATGCACAACCTCAAAAGAAAAGAAAGACTGAATACAAACTGTTTAAAAAAAATAGCCCGTTAAAAGTGTAAGCTAACTAGGGGTTGACACTGTATCCTACCATAGGAGTAGCTGCCTTCCAGAGCCTTACCTTATAGGCGACACTGTTTGAAGAGTCCACAATGATAAACAGTGGCTTTCTTGTGAAAGGGTAGAGATCTCCAGGGTGAAGACTGAAACGAGAAAGGGATGCTTCACAGAGCACTAGAATTGCTGCAAAGCTGTGCTGACAGTGCACAAGTTCCTCAGACACACCACAGCCCAAGTCCAGGAAAAAAGCAAGTGGACTCCCCACGCCCCAGTCCCCAGAGTCCTCCTCAGAGGAACTGCAAAACTCATCTGGTATCCTCTATAATATGGGCTACAGGACTTCTTGTTAGTTCATTTCCAACAGGAGATGCTTATCTTCTTGAAAGTAAGCCACCATTAAGTTGATGTTTTCCAGTAATACAGAATTTATGTTATGTCAGAGCAACATTTTTTTTTAGTGTTTAAATCATCATTTAGAGTGGCACATTCACTTCTAATTGTTCAACTCCAGGCCAATCTACACGATGGTGTCCTGCACTGAGGAGTCTGACTGCGAGAGGCTCTGCTGCGTTTTCCTCCCCGCCTGCAGCCCCAGGACACTCACCAGTGCATCTCCTTGTACGACTGGTTTCGCTTGTGGATGGCGTCCCCATTTATAATGTCCCTGTTACTATTTGTCAGAACACCACCAAAATCATATGGACCTAGACATGGCAAAAAGAGAGCTGAAGTTAGCTGAGGCAACTCACCTCTGGTACAGACTTAATGCTGCTATGAAAGGGAAGAAGCAACCACAAATCCCAGAAAACTATGTGGATCTGAACTACTGCAGCTCTAAGGAGAGGATGGAGAAATGTGGAGACTTTAGGTACCACATACTCAATTTTATGCATTTTTAGTAGTTTCAGCATCAATCAAATAGAAGGAAGCAATGCAACTTCAGAACTTTTAATTTATTTATTCACTATTTATCCAAAACCGTAATACAAAAGATCCAAGTACTGGGTCTTGTTACACTACATAGCAAAAAGATTAAAACCCATAATTTCATACAGGTAATCAATACTCTTATAAAATTACTATATGAGCTGGCATAGTCTGGATTCAGAATTTGATCAAAAAGTAAGGCTAAATCAATCAAAAACCCTGGAGCCTCTCAGTATGGATAAAATACCATCCCCCACAGATATAACACTGCAAATGGGAGAAGAGAGCTCGGAGGGTGAATATGCTTTCAGTACCACCAGAAAGGACTGAACAGTTTTAACCAGATTTCAAATCTGTGGCAAAGGTTTATCTTTTAAGATTTCAAACACAGAATTCACAATTTTTAATGTGCAGAGTCTGGACACATGTTCCAAAGGTAAGCTAAAAAAATATTCTGCAATATTTGCAGGACTGAGCTAGCTGCCTAACTGTCTGATGGAGAGCAAAGATGAAAGTAATGGCTATAAAAAAAAATCAAATCCCACGCACACAAAGAAAAAAAAATGGTAGTGAAACCAGGAATTATTTCTGCCATTAATATGGGTCTGGGATGTCACTAACATGAGGAAAATAAAGTATTAGGATTTCCTCATTCTGTTATACATTTGCAGAGTTGGCTCACCCATATTTGGCCACCAAATGCAATTTTTCCTGGTTTGGATAAATTTTAAAAGAGGCTTTGGGAATGCAGTATTAGGAACAGAATATACATTAATTTAGTACTGTTAAAAAGGTCTCACATGATCTGTCAAACACAAGTGGCTTACAGGGGATAAACAGTGCAACTTGCAGCTGCTCTCCTTTTTAATAAGGTAGAACTTTCTGGTCTGTGCAGACTACAGCACCTTACTAAAAGAATGCAGTGGGAATGGGAGTCACCTAAACACTGCAGTCTGGCTGTGCAGCTCTTCAGATACAGCACCTCGTTGCCTCTACAGTAAGGTACTAAGCTGAGACAGTACATGCAGTGAAGTGGACATATCACAGGCTTTAAAGAACATGGTTCCATCAGAACCTATCACCAAGCTGCAGCAGAAAGTAAAATGTTAAAAGTATTTAAAAAAAAAAAATCACTGCCGCAATCTAAAGCTGACAGGGATTTTTTTTTTTCCCTTTAACATTTTGAGAGCTTTATAAATCATGCACAGGGATGGACAAGGCATGCATCTTATAAAGGAATGCAAGTCTCAGATGAGGCATGTACAATATTTAGGATATTAAAAACTTTTTTTTTTCCTTAAATTATATAAACAGATCTTTTGACTGTGTTTACTTCAGCCAACTAGTTTTCAGCTTTTAGATTGCAGCTGCATCCAAATATTCTGTTAGGTTGCAAAGAACAGGAGGATGAGGTAAAGGGGAATTGTCAAAAATCATGAGAAGGACTTGAATTGTCAGGTTAACAAGCGTGCAAATAGAGCAGTCCGTGCAGACACTTCAGCCCTTCCACCAGCTGTCTCCTGACCACACATTCTCATAGTGCTGGAGGTTGGAAAGAATCACAAAGTGCCATTTAGCCATTTTATTAACTTTGCACTGATGCATCAACTAAGCCATGTGGTCTTCAAAACTGGTGAAGCTTTTCATACTTAGATGCATCAAAAACTGGATATGTCCTTTGAAAAGGTCTCAGGTTAATGCACACTAATTAAAACACAGGGAATTAACTACTTTTTGTGGAAAAAAAGAAAAGATAATCTTACTAAGTAGACAGGAGAATAAAATTGACTCGTCTTTTAAAAGGAGCTTTGTGACATCTTTCTTGGTCACTTTTCCTGGAACATAAAGAGAATTCAAGCCCTGTTCATGACAGGGAGCATTCCTTTATTGTACCTTCACTATCCGAACGACCTGATGGAAACACGCCCGTGGCAGACAAGTAAATCAGCAGCACACTGTTTGCAGGCAGCTCCTGAAATTCAGATAAAGAGAAGAGAGGCTCAGGAAGAAATGTGTAAGTGTCTGTTAATACTCAATCAGCACCTTCATAAACACATTGTCATTGAAGATGGTGCTTCTGCTTCTGGCTGCCCTTCACTCTGTTCTTCCTCTGAGCACAAACCCTTCCCCACCACACGAGTACACACACAAAAACATAAACCCATGATATGTTCTTATTTGGTTTTCCACACAAACCTCTATGCTGGTATTAGAGGTTTGAGCAGCACTAAAAAAGCATCTCGTCCTACACAGACTCTTCCTATCTAGACAGATCTGAGGCTCTCCAAGCTATGGAAACCAAACAGTGCCAAGATCCATGCAGACCCTAACTCCCAAAAATTCAGGATTCTAAAGGAAGTTCTTTGTTTCCAAATACCCTGGAGTATGGAACATTTGCCTCTTCCCCCCAGCCCTTCCCAGCTGGACAACAAGCACAACACATCCAGGTTTCTGTATAGACCTGTAAAAGGAATCTGCTTTCCACCTTTTTAATAGGCTGTCTGTAGGAGGAAACAGATGCATTTAATTTCTGCAAAGCCTGAGCATGAAGGCACCCAAAATTCTCAGTAGTAAGGATGCACTTCCTTTTCCACACCAGCTGTTTCTTGACAGTTGTTTCTTGAAACAAACTGAAAATCTGTAGTCATAACTGAGCATAATGAGCCCAGGAACTTTATTAAATTAAAATAAGGACAGCAACTATATTTAAAAAGTCTACAAACGTATAGAATACTTACACAGAAGAGAGCAGTGGGTAACAATGAAATGCAGATAAAAATATAGTATGTGCAGGAGAGAGACACAATCCAAATGGGACAGACCTGGAGACCTGCCAGGTATACAGTGCTTAAGAGCAACAGTTTCTTGACACACTTCCCTCATTTTGGATTGTTTGGCACAACATGAAGTAGAAGAATACTGTAAGATTTTTGTGTTCTCCAGATCTCTTATCTCAGAAAATTTTTCCTATGCTATATGTAGGAAACAGATAAACTTTATAGAGGAGACATTTCCTTTTATATGTGTCTGGATATATCAAGAAAAATGTCTCTATGTATGCATGTATCTACACATGCAGAAACAAAATTACTGGATCAAGTTAAATCATGTGCAACTATCACATTACACCACATTACTTAAGGCTTTCCATAGCATTTCCAGGCACCACGTTTGACACTGGACAGCAAGCACTGAGACCATCTGCACAGGAGCTGTTTCAGCTTTGCTTTGAAGACGACTGTATTTTAGCAATGCTGTAACTACTGCTACATAACAGCAAGATGCATTTCCATATTAAAATCATTTTTTTTTCTTTACCCTACCAGCAGGCAACAGATTTGCCTTTATTATACAAATTACATAGATCTATAATATTTATATTCACTCTAAGAAGATAAAAAAGGCTTCATTATCTGAAAGCATAAAAGATTATGTCAACCATATTTTATGCAGTGTCAGACTATTGTGGGTATTTTTCTATTATAAATAAATTCAGCAATTTCACAAACCTTAAATGATGCTGCTAAAAATGTATAGAGCTGGCTGAAAGTTGGTTTATACAGCAGATATTTATGGGGGTTTTCCCGCCTGGCTGGTTTCTCTGTCGACTCCTGTTAAACAAAAAAGCCCACAATACAAAAATCACAACAGATATTACCAAAGCAGTTTTATAACCTTCTAAATGTCTTTTTATTAGAATGTTCATCTTCAACATACTTCTCACATATATAATCTGCCCATGCTGCATTTCCTGCTGCACAGTAAAGCAAGATGCACAGTATTTGAACCCAAATTTTATATTATCCCTCATTTAAATTTGTTACCTAAATCTTTCTCACTCTCTAAAGCATCCCCCAAGAAAAGAGGGAAAAAATTCACTCCCCATCTCAACTGAATAAAGGAAAACCTACATGCTTCCATTTGCTTGCAGATAAATTATCTTTTACACTTTCTCTGAAGGGACTATTTAGCTTCCAGATGACTTAGGAAGCAGATGAACCTGTCAGGCCACACGACTGCCAGGCTGCAAACCAGGGCAAGGGTGTCTGTGCATAAGGCTGGACATGGCACCTCTTCAGAAGTGCCTCTGCTAGAGCAGTGCAAAACATTTGTGCAGGGATACCCAAATATTCATTTCTGCTATTTTTTCCCTATTTAAGGTTTGTTAAGGAGAAAAACAAAACAGAAAAGATACACGTTACTTGGAACAAACTCCACAGGCTTGAGCTACTCTTCACTAACCTTTGGTAAGAGTTACACCAAATTTAATAACTTCCTGTGCATAGTGACTATACTGAAAGATTACACCACTGAAAACAAACAAAAAGAACAAAAAATCCCAGTTAAGATCTGTTGCCAGGTTTGTCACTGAACTGGAATTTACCTGCATTCCAGGCTTGTTCATTTGTGATGCTAAATTCATTGGTTCCCTTTCAAGTGCTTGTAGCATTCGAAACATATCAATTGTTAGTTCACTGAACTTGACCTGCAAAAGAGTCAAACAGTTTATTCTGCCAGATACACATTAAACAGTATTTCTCTGGAGTCATTCAGGTAAGAGATTGAACTGCATCCCAGACAGACCATTTTCTGTCTCTCAGGGATCCATCAGTGTCATCTTTGAATCTCTAAAGACCTGTGAAGGACTTTTAGAAGAGCTCACATAGGACAAACTATTTATTCCTGGTCTTCCAGGCCAGTTCACTGAAGTGCAGACCCCTGCTTTTTAAATTACAGACTTTTCGGGGGTGTTTACAATTTAAGTGCTGAAACCACTATGTACACACACTGTTGTTTGGCTACTGCTCCCTTGCTTACCTGAAAAAAGGGCTCAAGGAGAAGTCATGAAGTCAGTACAACTTCACTATCATCATCATCTAAAAAACAAGATCTTGAGTGTCTTTTGAAAACCCCTTCCTGTTGCAACTGAAGCTGTACAAGCTGGAGCATGTCATGTGAAAGCCCAACTCAAGCTTTATATGACATACCCCAGAGGCCTCTCATGCTTGAATGGTGCTAAATACAATCCAGTATATGAAAATCAATTTTATCTACTTAATTGACATGATGAATATAAGCAGTGAGATGTCAGTAAGACAGGTCTAATATCTAATTTAATTTTTAACTCTTATTTCTGAGAACCAATTCTTGCTGCCACTGTAAACATCACAATCAAAATATTTTAATATTCACCTCTATCAAAACTTCTGTTTTATGATCAGAAAGGATGTCACAGGGGAAGGACTCCAACCTCCAAAGATACAAACCCAAGCCCTGGGTTTTACCTGGTTGTTGCAGTTCCCAATAATCAGCGCATCTGCAAGAGCAAGCTGTCCCACTATCATCCCCTGCTCCAGCAACGGAGCTCCTGTTTCAGAAAGCCTGTTAGAGGTGATTACAATGGTGTTGTCATCATTTAAAACCATGACAGGGTCTGCCTAAAAAAAGCAACCAGAAAAATCAGGAATTCAAGAAAACATACAGATTTGCAGTCAGAGAGACGTCCAAAGGTCTTGTCACTTACAGTAAACATTTCATACCCGAGGCAGATTTTTAAAATTAATTTGCCATACATATATTTGTATGCAGCTACAGAGCAATACCTTACACCTGGAAAAGCAACAGCTCTTAGGGACTGCAAGAAATACATTGTACAGGCACACGAAGGTACAGCAAACAGAAAAGCATACTGCCTCCAACGACAAACTCTGCCTCAGCTTTTCTATACCCAAAGAACCCTGTAAACTAACAGCTAAAAGGGAGTGGGATTCTCACCTCAATAAACGCTGCCACTTCCTGGAGAACCAGGTTCCACTCCACCTGATCTTCAGTGTTAAACCGGTGAGTGTAGTCTTCAATTTCATCTGACAGCTCCTGATGTAAAAAGTTCAAAGACATAGTCACTTAAGCTGAGAGCTTAACAGGCAGCCAGTAACCTCACAGTTTTGTTAGCTGTGCTGGCCTTTAAGAATAATGAAAAATAAGAGAACATATGCAGCACACTTATGACTAACACGCCAGCCAAAACGCGCCTTCGGGAGCCAGAATGCCAACGCTACACTGAGCTCTGGCAATGCAAAGTGTCTTTCAAGTAGGTCCAAATGCAAAGAATATGTGGAGTTAAGTATAACTATCCCACTCACATGCAGCTATGTCACTGGTTATTACCATAAGCTATGGATACCAAGGACTCAAATTTCTTCTTACAAGTAACTTTAAATACCCTGACAAAGTGAATGGTGTGGCTTTTTTAGCTGCTGCTAAGCTAAGCTAGCAGTTCAAGGAAGCTTAGACACCAAGACAGTAATGCAACCTACACAAAACTGTCAACAGCAGAAGCTGCTTGCAGCAAGGTTGTTGAGGGGTTTGGGAAGCATATGTTGTCATCAGGAGAAGCATGCTGTTCCTTTGTGGGAGTTAAAGGTACCTCCCTATCCAGGCTGCAGCTCTTGGAATGTTTTTACTTGGTGTTCAAACAATGCCATCAAATCATTTGAGCTTGAAGTGTCAAAAAGTGTCTGATTCACAGAACGTGTTTACTGCGTTGATGTCAGATAGACTAGAAAAGCAATGATCAACATTGGCCTGTACTCTGTCTGCTCTACCTGAAGACTTGTGTTTACAGGCGTTCAGTGCTTTCCTCCCACAGCAGAGGCATATGTAGATCAAGCCTCCAATTTCACAGTTATATCTACATCATTTAGCAAGGTTTAATTTTGATGATCTCTGGAAGGTGCAAAATGTATTCAGGATGTGTTCTAGACATGGGACAGAGTGATAACAGCTTGGAAGAGAAGAGAAATAAGCTCATCATTAAGCTAGGAGAACACTGTCTTTCCAAGTGTGGCATGAAGACTTCCAGGGGGAGATTCCACCAATGTCTTAAACCCACTACAGGAATGAAGATGTACTCAAGAGTCACCAGATGATCCCCACATTTTCAGGTGAATAACATGCATCTTACAGCTTATTGCTAACTAAGTATATCAATTTGTAAAGTTTTCCTCTAGTCAAATGTTCACATCATACTGGATTTTTCCATAGCTCTAGCCATGTTGTTCTTTCCTTCTGTGGCCTCCAACAGCACAATCAGTTAAATTGGGGAGGGGAGGAAAGAATATTAGAGGTATGCTGCAGCAGCAGCTAACATCATAGATCTAATGAGTGATACTCAACTGAAACAGTCTATATTATATATTCCTTATTTAGGAAAGAAGCACTGAATAACCAGCAACCTCCCACCCCTTAGCACCTTTATCCTCATTTTAACATACCTTTACAAGGTCCTTTACAACATCCATTTTGTTGAGCAAGAGACAAACCACTATAAACCTTGCATAGTAACGCAGCTTCTTAACCACTAATTCAGGCCTAAACACAACAAAAACACCACAGCCAAATTTGAGATTAAAATTGAATACAGGTGGGTGACAGGGGTAAGGGAAGGGAGGAGTTTAATGCTCTGCAGATTGAGAGTTCTACCTGAATTCACATGGAGATCAGTAGCTACCTGGCTGCTTAAAGGTTTATTTAAAATTGAGTACAGGGACATAAAATATATATCCAGAAAACCACAGCCTCTCCCCCCTCCCCACAGCCTCCTTATATGAGAGCAGGCATGAGAGTCAGATAAAATCACTGGCTCTTCAAACCTTTTAACAGTGCCTGGGCACTACCTGACCACACTGCACCACCTTAGAGCCACAGCTGGCTCAGAGTTCACCCGCCCAGCACAACTTTGAGAGCTGCAAGTCAGCACAGCCCCTAACTACTCATCCATTTCTAAAATCTTGTGATAGCATGTAGAAACACATTTGGTCAATCCTACCTTGTCTGAAACAGTTTCAAACTGAAATTAAGATATTTTTAACAGAGAAGATAATAGCATCAACAGATGTCAGAACAGAGCAGGGAAACTTTAATCTTCTTGTGGCACACAACTGCATTGAGACATCAGCTAGACTAGAGACCTGCATTAAGTTTAAGAGATCCTAGAGTGCCTGGCAGGAAAATCCCCAACTAATTTTCTGCATCTGTTTTGATGACTTCAGATATTTTCTTCTTTTAATTTAATAAGGGAACTCAGGTTTACCAGCTAGAATGTAAGATTAGGATCCAGTACTGAGTCCTCTACCTATTCTTATTTGTATCTGCTTATGTTCTTGGCAGGCAGCACATCTTCTGCACTGCCACAACACAGCCCTGCTTTGAGTGTGCCTTTTTCAGCAGTGTCTTAGAAGGAAGACGTTATGCCTCCTGAAGCTCTAGGACCTTGTCCCAGATGGTTACAGAGGGCTGGTGTACTGCAGTACTACCTGATGTTCCCCTGAAAAGCCTGGTTAGAATAAAACAGGTTCCTCTGCTTCAGAACAACTGACCTGTCCTCTAGCCACAGCACACCAGGTCCCTGCACCAATACTGCTCAGGACTCAAAATGACAAAACCTCAGGGCTAATGGCTTTCTAGTTAGGACCAGGGAGCAGAACGTTCCTCCAGTCACAGAGCAAAGCTCTTATTCATACTGAGGCTTTTAATCATGGCAGGAGGACTAAAAGAAACTTCCTGCAATGACACTGATTCTACCCCAGTTATGCTCCACAGTTTATAGTTATTTGCTACTTTCATACACTGTTCTAGTCTTGAGAAAACAAGGGCATCCCTCCAGACATACCTGTCTTCTTTGTTGACTTGGGAGTAGTATGACCTCTGCCTAATGGCCGAGTAGAAGGAGAAAGCTTCATTGAGATAGCTGGTTTCTGAGGTGCGCAGGCTGCAGAGGAAGAACTGGATTAGCTCACTGCTTCAGAAGGAAACCTGCCAAACCCCCCCTGCTGCCCCCTCAACCATCCTGTGCATCAATGGCAAATCTCCCTCCTCAAGTGACATCGTGTGGAAGCCAGACGCTCATTCTTTGTGCCTGCTGGGAAGACAGATTTTGGAGTTTGGATTCCATTCCTTATACCAACCAGCTCTGCCCATCGTGTACTCAGGTACAGGTGACAGGGTAACTGAAACCTTTAAAGGAGCATTAAGCTCCCAAACTTGTAAGTCATGCTTTCGCACTGGAGTCCAATGCAGCATGCACGGAAGACTTCGGGACACTTTTGAGGTGGGTGGTAAGTCCCCAGGCAGTATCAACATGACTGGCAACATGGTATGAGGCTCACAGGTGCCCCCCTCCACAGCACCCCCATCCAGTCCCAGGGGCCCTCTCATTCACAAACAGGCATCATGACCCAAATGATACACAAATTCCTCCTGACTGAGTATCTGGATGTTTGACATGGAGCTGCCACTGACTCTGCATTTCCCTACTGAGTCCTTTTCTGTGCTTACTTACTAATAATGGTAATAGAGCTGCCCAATCTTGGAAGCAATTTCCCCAATTTGCCACCGCTTCAACCCATACCGATTGTCCAATACTTGTCTATTTCGCAAGAGAGAAAAGAAAGATTAAAAGGCATTCCAGAATTCCTCAGAACATCACACCAGACAAGACAAAGAGCCATTGCAGGGCCAAATCCAGCTTTCATTACTGGAGTGGCATTCCCAGTAGCAGTCCCTCACAGAGCCAACAGCACTGCATACACACACCAGAACAAGGACCGTTCATCTTGCTTAAATTTGTGAGAGCTAGACATGAGTATGTTGCACAAAATACACACAACAAAAGGTCACAGCTTCCCAGGAGAACACTCAGACTACACAGCCAGTGTAAGGTGTGAGAGATCAGAGCCCACACTGCAGCAAGAAGCTTCACACCACTCCAGATGGGTTCTGCACTGCAGAAGCCATCATCCCAGCTTCCCCTCGGCGGCACGTTAAAGCAACATGCATTCAAGTGGAGCAAAAGGTTTTGTTAAAGAAGTCACACTGAGAACTCTGCAACATTTTAATTCATTAGACTGAGGGCTACAGGAAGCGACTCTTCATACTTGAATAACATAGTGAAAACTCAGCCTTAACTGGGGCCCTGGCCTACCAGAGATTAAAGCTGCACTCAGATCCACAGAACACGCCTGCCTACATCCTCTTACCGGTGCTGCTGTTGAAACTTCCAGAGCTTGGTGTAAACGTCAAAGGTCCGCCCAAAATAGGATTGCCACTGCTTCTGCCCATACTGAGGTAAATCCCTGCAACAGACAAGTGACAACACAGAGTTATGGAGTTGATTCCAGTCAACCCAGCGCGACAGCAGCGTATTTGTGCCAACGTCAGAAGAGCTTTGTTCAAAATTGGCTTAAAATGCTCTAGGACTCTGCCTGCACCCAGTTTCTCAAAATCTATTGTTACTGAAATCTGCAAGGAAATCCTGTTTAGCTTGTAGGAAGTACATATATCAAGATCTGACCATAGAATCCCTCAAAACACACCACAAGCCAGAGGGCATGTTAATTTACACATACACAAGAGAAGACTGCATATGCATACATAGGAGAAGGAAGCATTTACTGGGGGCAGGAAGAAATCCTTCAATGCTGTCTCCTAATTATTGCTTCCTACTTTCAGACAAATTCACATCACTTTTCAAACACAACAGGACTGAAGGTATCAGTGTTAATAAAGATTCAGCAAATCTTCCAAGTGATTGCCAACATTTAATGACTGTTAGGGGACACAGAGAGGTCTTAAACTACCTGAGCCCTGCAGGTTCCATACAATAAAGGACAATGCTGTAACATCAAACTAGAGGTGCACAGTTTAAGCAGAAGTTTTTGAAGTAAGGTGTTTTCCTACTAAGACAATAACTCGGCTTTCAAATTCAGGAACCATAATTCAATCACTTATTCAAAGAACAGCAGAATTATTCTTATTATGCTACTATTGCATGTCAATATCCACAGTTCTTAATGATCTACCCAAGAGTTTGTCCAGCTGCAGCCTGACAGTCCCCCTGCATAGATCCCTTACAAAATGCTGAGCCTTCTACCCCTAAAGATTCAACAAGATGGGTCCTGTCCAACAGCTTCCACCAGTTCTACAGGTAGGCGACTTTTAAGTTAGTTAGGAAATGTATTGTGTATTCACAAAGTATTTATATGGTATTTACAATGAACATAACACACTGTGCACATGACCCTGCTCTCTCCAGATGTGCCTGGGATTCTGGAATGGTTACTCCAACACACAGTAGCAGCAGATGGAAGCAGGGCTCTTCACAAGCGAGTTAACATGAGTCAAATGATTGGATATGTGCAAAATCTGGTATTTATGGACAAACACCATCCAAAGGGCAAAAAGGAATCCATGTTCTCTAACTCCCATTAAAATGCCTTTATCAAGTTTCCTCAATATTAACAGGTTCTTAACAGCATCAGAAGAACAGGTCTACAAATAATCACTCCAAATGGGAAATGACCATGATCCTACATGCACTTTTCAACTGGTGACTGAAACCATCTTACCACCTTGCTAAGAGATAAGTAATTTTATGGTTATACACACAGAAAGCTACACTGGACTCTTAAAAATCATAGTAAAAATCCCCACCTTATCCAAGAGCAAGTGGAATAATCTAACAGAAATTAGTTCATTTAGACTGATAATATTTCTTGCTACTCATTAAGGAAATAACCTTTCTTAAACAGATGAGGTTGTTCACTGTGTGTCAGAAACAGACCCTATAACATTGTGCATATATTAGTTGTCCAAATGCCACTGGGTCAAGCAAGCATGCAGATGCTCACCACCAACATTCAGTGGGTCAGGGGACATCATCACCACAACACTGTCACCCTCTAACTGACAATGGTATGGCAGAACCTGAGGCCACCTGTGTTTCCATACTGGCTGTAAGACAAGTTAGTCAATGCAGTTCAGTTCTGCTCCCACACCTCCACTCAGTTTCCATGCTGTGATAGATTTCTTTCCACCTCCACCCCACAACTATGTTGTAGTCCTAAGGATTCTAGCTTTAAAAGTTTATGCTCTCAGTCCTAACAGAAGATCATCACCTGGGAGTTACTTGAATCCTGGAACAAATGCAACAAATAAGACAAAAAAAACATCAGTCTCACTGAGCACCTTGCCTACAAATGAGTACTGAAGCCCACTCAAAGGAGCACAGAACTCTGCAGGTGGAACAGCTTTTTCAAGACGGCACAATCTTTTATTTGATTCAAGAGCGATTTCTTCAGGGAACATGCTCTCAGATCACTGTGCTGGTTCTCGTGCCATCCAACACCTCAGTCTTCAGCAGACAAGCACAGACCAGCAGCACATTCCACCCCTGAGCCTGGGAGGCTGGGATGGAGGGAGCTGTCCCCTCTGGAAGCCACGCTGTGTGCCCTGGGGGAGGCAGACAGGCGAAGCAGCGCGCTACGAGGGCCAGAGCAGCACTTCTGCTGACTGCAATTGCTTTAACAGCACCCTAGGCAGAAAAGGAAATTAATATTCCTTTGCTCATCAGCCAAATGTGCTTCCCACACAGCTTGAAGGGACCTAGCTTAGTTATGACATGTAAAATGAATCTGCTATCAGCTATGACTCTTACCAGCCTGGAAAACCATTCCAGTACTTGCTGCTGCTATTCTGTGAATACATCAAGGAATCTGGGCAGGGTTTTATTAAAAAAAAAAAATAAAATTGTTCTTTAAATCCCCTCAAACTTGCAGTTGGCTGCTTAACATCTTGGAACATACTTTTGTGTAGTGATGGGTAAACAGGTGTATAAACATGTACTTCAGGGCACTGACATCTTCATCAAAGTGTCAATCAACTTGACATGAACACATGCAAACCTAAAGCTTTTACTGCAAGGAATGATTCACAACTTTCTGCTGTTGCAATAGATGTAAACATTTTAGTTAAACAAAAGAAGTTAAGAAACTGTCCAAATACATACCTAAGATACACTACAGGCTTTGCTACAGCAAGAGGTAGTGTTATATTTAATTAGCACATCCACAAGTTTCAATGTTAAGAAAAAGTGAATGCAAATACAAAACACTATAAACTGATCATTTGGGAAAAAAAATCATTAAAAAATAAAAATAAATCAAAGTTTCCTGGCCCTAGCTTAGAGAATGCCTGAACTGGCAAACTGACTCAAGGAATCCTACCAGCAGTAAATTGGGCTCAGCCCAGATGCTTAGGCCACTGGAGGAAAGGTCTAACATAAGGAAAGGAGAACACACCTTTCTTCCATGCACAGAGAAGCAGGCACGTGCCCAGATGAAGCAGGCAGCAGGTAGCTGTTTGCTGCTCTGCTCCTGCACACAGCCTGGTCAGGGTCAGGCTCCAGGCCCCCCAGCTGCCCAGTGTCTGAGGGGGTGAAGATCAGTGCGTTTTGGAGAGGCCACTGGCCACGGCCCTTGCTGGGTGGCCACCTCCCTGTTCCTCCACAGCCTAGCTGCAGCTGGCAGAGCTGCACAGCACCACGCCGCTCCCCGGGGACAGCACATCTCCATGGAAACAGACAGTAGCACTTGTTCCTTTGATAGTATTCTGACATGGCTGTAATAAAACTTCATTTATGACAATACATTACCCTGGTTTCACCACAGGGTTTTGCAGACGAGAGCTGCCATTGCTGCTGTCCATTTACTGGTTTGTGTTCTGAACATCACGTGTGTTGCTCCTGGTGTATCAAGAAATCTTGCTGTGAGAAAAGGGATGCATAAACAAAAGAGCACATTTAGTGCAGCTTGTTTTTTTTTTTTTAACTGCACCAGAGGATCTGTGTTATTTGGTGAGAAACAGCCCAAAAGCATACTAAAGACTCTGTTGATTGCAGTGGATTATTAACACAACTCCTGCCACTGAAGGAGACAGGGAATGTATGATCCAGAAGCAATTACACACCCAACACGAGAGCAAAAGACCTGTGCTATAGCAAGACATTTTGCTGCTTCCAGATCTACAGAAGATCACTCGAGCACTGTGGAAAGAAACAGCCAACAGCCCTGACTTCCTCCAGGGTGTGCCTGGCTGGGGACACGGGGTACAGACTGGGCCCTGGCAGGGGTACTCCCTCACACGGCTCCTGGTGACAATCAGCTGTACAGGATGGAGGAAGGGGCACCAAGAAGGAAACCAGAGGCACAGGAGGGAATAGATGTGCTTTGATTTAGGCCAGTTCTACACAGACAAGGAAGAGAGAGACATGCTCCATTACAATAGCTTCCAACAACAAGTGGAAACTGATGCAATTTCTTGGCTTTTAAAACATTCCAAACTGGATGTAAAGAGACAAACTCAGATGTTCTGAAAGGATGGGTTTCTCACCCTGAGCACAGAAGACTGGTTCCCTTGCCACATTACAGTGGCTAGTGGATAAATTCCACAGACAGTCCAGAATTGTATCCAGTTCTTGCTGTATGGTCTCAAAGACCAGCACTACTTAGGTGCTCATAATTAATTTTCTGTCAGTAATTCATTTCAGCCATGCTGTTAGCAGAGGCCAGATAATACTGCCTGAAAAGCAATTAAAGGTGCTGAGGTTTGTTAGGCCAGCACCACATGGAAGTTGTCACACAGGGACAACTCCCAGAGACAAAGATGTTGAGAAAGTCCAAGAGACTCAGCAGGACACTTCAGAAAGCCAGGTTACAATAACCAAGTCTAACATTTGGAGCTTTAAACACATTCACAGCTTTGACAGGTGATAAAAAAGACAATTTCCTTTTATGTTCATAAGCTTGTAGTAATTACAGGCTCCTATTCCCAGAACCTAAGCAGCAGTGGGATAACAGCATCGTGGTGTAGCTTCTCCATCACCTCTAATAACCCACAGAGAGACTGAGCACCCCAGCAACACTCAGGGAACTGATGCAATCAGTGTGAGAAACCAGCCCCTTGCAGTGCCACACGGGGCACAGCCTGCAGCATCACCTGGAGCTAACAGGGTCCTCTTGTTTCTAAATCAGCAGCAGCAGCAGCATGGAACAAAACCAAGAGGTTCAACACCTGTCTTACTAGAAGTCTACAAAATAAACAGTGACACAGTGCCATTTCTTTCCATGGAATGAGTGCAGGTGGGATCCTTGCACCCTGCACAATGAGCAGAGAGACCCTGTAATCTGGCAAGGTTGGATAGATGTGGAAAGTCTTTTCATTTCTTAAAGTTTCAAGCTTCTCTGTGATGCTGAAAACATTATGCACGTTTTAACATTAAAAATAAAATAATAACTGGTGACAGTATGCCATAAAAAAACCTGCTTCCTAACCTGCTTCCTCTTTCCCAGTCTTTTTCCAGGGAAAAAAGCAAGTGGGAAAAAAGAGAAGAGAGCAACTGGAACATACTTGACTAACAGTTGTTTCTAACTTACAGCTCAGGGTGTTTGAACAGGCCCTAGAAAGACAACCTCTACTCTGTGCTGTTCTAGCAGACATGGCCACAAAAGGATGGTATCACTGGTAGTGTGAGCACAAAGTATACTTTGGAGAAGCAACCTTGGCAGACCATTGTATGTTTTCCTCAAATGCTGTATTTGGCATCTGTATTGGGAAGAGAGGAAGGAAATGCTACTGAAACAAAGACGTGGCAGGCTGAGCCCTTGCATTTTTGGCAGCAGCAACAGCTAAGCAGCTGCCAACACAGCTATAGGCTCAGATCCCTGTAGCTGAAGTGCCCAGAGGAGGTTTCAGGAAGGAAATCATTGCTGTACTCTCCCTCCCCCATCACTTCCATGAAACATGGCAGGGACAAGAGAATGGCATCAAACACAGCAGCAAAGGCCACCACTGTCTTCAAAACAGGAGAAGGCAGGCATGCATCAAATGTATTTATTATCCTAGAAGGAACAGGACTAAGAATGAGGATACTTGCCAAGTCATTTCCAGGTGAACTACCCAGAAGAGAAGCAGCACTGACAGAAGAGATACCTGGAAACTGGAATGCTGCTTTATCCAGCCATCACACCCAGAGGAATCACAGACCTCACAGGTCGAACAGTGCTCGAGTTCAGTGCAAGAAGCAACCACGTTCCCTGTGCCAGGTGCCAGTGAGGACAGAGGTGGGGCCCCATTCTGGGCTGTTCTTACTTTCACACACCAGAGCTGGCTGCCGAAGCCCATCTCCCTAGTTTTATTGCCCAAACTTCATCTAAAGGTATTTTCCATTTTCTCTTCATCTCGCTGGATAAGGAGATTGGCTTTTTGGCAAAATACTACAGATATACATGGAAACTACATCTCTCATCTGGAAACCTGATACAAGTACTAACTGCCTCCATGCCCAAAGGAAACGAGGGATCTCTGTGAGCTGAACTTGAGCCTCACACATCCAGACATGAACTGTGTTAATCTGGGCTCTCCAGTGATTCAGGCCAAACCACCAAGCAAGCTGTACCAGAAAGCCAATGTAATGGCATACCCTGGGAACCCTGGCCTCAAGACACCAGACCTTTTGCTTTAGACTCCATTTCATGGGGTGTGGAAGGCAATCACCAAGAACTCCTTGCTTCTACTGCCCACTTACCATTCAGATTTTGCAGCACAAGCTGTTTGTTTCCCATTTGGTAATCAACTTCTAAAGCACACGAAAGGATTATCAATAGTGGGGGGCGAGGGGAGAGGAATTAAAAACATCTTTGCTAGCCATCTGTGTTTGAGTAACAGCAAGCTACATGGGCCCAAACATACAGTATTACTCAGAGACCAGTAGGAGGCTCAACTGCCAACAAGACAGGAGCTAAAACCCAGGTTGCTTAAGAGACTCTACAGCAAAGCTCAGAAATAAAACACCTCTTTAACCTTTAAATCACTGTCTGTTGGCATAAACAGGATGCCTACAGCACCGTCTAAGCGTGAACTATTTCCCTGGAACTCCTCACACTCTTATTATTGGTGCTGACAAAAGAGCTAGACTTTCCAGATGTTATTGTATGTGATTTGTAGATAAATTAAGATTTTACCTTTTTCCACAGTTCAGATTAAGTATTTGTTTCACCAGACACATACAGGCTGTGGTTTGGAGGTTTCTGTTTATCACTTCCTAAATGTCTTCCCCCAGAACACTCCCTCCTCCCCTTTCCTCCCACCTAGGCCAATCCTTCTCATCCCTTTTTCTTTTGTGGTACAGAGACTGGGGGGTTTTGGACTTGCATGCTGTTGAATGTTTACAGCCACACCTAGTCCTCAACTGTGTACTTCATACACAACATTGCAGAACAAATTCTATCAATTTCATGGAATTTCCAACTTCCAGTTTACTGTTAACAGACAAGACGTTGTCCAAGACATTAATCCAACATTAACCAAGACATTCAGCTCACCCCTCTCACATTTCCTTCCCTACTGTCTCAGAAGAAAAGTGTGATCCTCCACTCCCACAGACATTCTTACAGACATGGTCCAAAACCACCCATACATAGATGAACATTGTTCTCTCCTACACAAACTCACTGGGTTCAAGTTCGAAATGTTCACTGTAGAACTGACTTCAGCATCACCCACGTGCTGAAGTGCATGTGCCAGTGCTTTTCTGAAGTAGTACTGTCAAAAATGCACTAACCTTAAGCCATTGAATAGCTGTTTAGATTTATCCAACAAGTAGCAAAAGTCTGTCACTGTTTTCCTCTCTGCTTGAGGAATATCATCTTCAGCTCCTCCTGATGACATGATTTCTTTTAGGGCAAACTCACTCCTATGAAGAAGAAAATAGCCATATTACTGAGAAATTGAGGGCTGCTATCAGCTCGTCCAGATCAGATGCACGTACAGTTCCATGGGGATGGTAACAGAGCATGCAACTCTCCCACAGATTACTCTTCTCAAGACTCATTAAAAATAACAGCTGAGAATCAAAACATGGAACTAATTACCACACAATGCACTAGTTAACAAAGCAAAATTAAAAATAAAAGTGGGACAAGAGTCATAAAAAGAAATAACTCTGAGGACTGATTTCACAAACACAAAACTGCCAACAAAAGGACTGTGACACCAACACCACTTGGGTTTCATGCATGGACAGGGAAATCCTCTCTGCATTTGCCCTTCTGCAGAGGTGTTTATCCTGCAGCCACATCTAGAGAGACCAGCCTCAGTGCTAGTGTTCACATTTAATTGGCTTCTGGAACTGCTGAAAACTGTAGCTCACTAGTTTGTACTGCTAAAACATAGCAATTTTAGACAGAATGGTAAAAACATCCTACTTCCTCTCTGCCTCCTCATGCTTTAATTCTGTGGCTTGTGCTGTCCACAATTGTATCTGCAAATCTATTTTTACTGTTCACATGAGCAAAATATTATATTGTACAGTAATCACCTGAACCAAAACCTAAGATATAACCTAATCCCAGTATTGAGTAAGTAATGGAATATGAAAGCCTAAAAAGGCAGAGCAGCTTTTAAAATCTTATTTGAAATGTGCATAGCTATAAAATTATTGGGTTTTTATCATCCAAAGGCGAGTTACAGATTTCTCAGCAGAAGCAACAAAACATGCTCCTCTGGAAATGGCTGCCAGTCCCTTAGCTCTTCTTGCTCTCTAAGAATTCTGGTGCAAGACAAACACACCTCTAACAGGGAAATGCAGAGCTTTCACCTTCAGCAACTGCCCTACCAGCTCCATTTGTGTGGAAGCTCTGTTTGGATAAAGTTAGCACAAATAATTACCTACAAGTCCAAATTCAAGCCAGGAAATGGCAAATCTAACTCCTTACCGTCCTAGGAAAGTACCCAGAGGGACCCTTCATCAATTGTCACGAAAACCCTTCACCATAACCCAGCACTTCAGAAACACTTCCCTTAACAAACACTTCATGGCTACCAAATGCAGAAAGAACTGGCAGTCCCCAGTTTCTGTCCCCCAGCTTTTGGGGACTAGATAGTGAACAAACCACCTGTGGGAGAGCTCCAGAAACAGGTAGGACGTATCCAGGTGTTGTCAGGTAACTGCAATAGGGGTGTCAGACAGTACTAGTGAGTTCAAAACATACCAGCCAGATGTGAGGAGCTGTTGGCATGAGCCTAGCAGGGCAGGAATGCTGTGAAGCACCAGCCTTTGGAATTCCTAAACATTTACACTCACACAGCCTGAAACAAACAACACAGAGTACTTAAAGCAACAACATATGAAGTGAATGGTGCGAGCTAGAGAAGACTTCAGAAGTAGCCAGGAGGTGATTCAAGAATTTCAGAAAGAGGGACAATACCCCAGGTCCTGTGTGCTCTGCAGCAAGGGTGCCCTCAGTCCTGTGGTGAGGCCCTTGGGTTCTGCAGCACTCCACTGGGGTAGAGCAGGCACTCCAGAGCAGCTTCAGAGACACAGTCAGAAATTGAGGAGCTTGCTTGAACTGCAAAGCACGTTTCACACAGTCTGTATATAACTCCTTCAATTTAACAGTAAGGTCCATTTTATTTTATGCTACCTTAAGTTACACTAATGCAACCAGCCCAAGGGCTGCTGACATTGGGCAACTGAATCTGCCCTAGTCCTGGCACAGGCAAGGAAAACCAGCTGCAGCTCTCCCCTGGAGGAAGCCACCAGACCCACTGCAAAGAGGGCCACTTATGCAGTCAATAAAATTTACTGCCTGCCCCTCTGAAAGGCACCAGAAAGCAGGAAAAATACTTGTTGCACAGAAAGGAAAGAAAAAGCCTCTTTCAGTTTATAGACAATTAGGGTGTATTTTTAAAGCCTGCTCCAAGCCCAGCCAGTTCCTAAATATTTAGCACAGTACTAGTTTTTGGAAAGTCAGAACTGAGAGAAGAAAAAAAATAAAAGGCTGGGGGGGGGAGGGAAGAAGGAGTTTACCAAACTGGAAACAAAACCCTGGAGAACACTCTGTGGGGTCAGCTTCCTGATATGGCTGTTGGCACATGGGTTTGGATCTACTACTCAAGCAGAGTGCAAAAGCACCTTTCTGCTCGTGGAAGGAAACTGCCAAAAGCAGAGGGACCCACACATCTTCTTATCAGAGACTGCTGATGAAGAAACCTAGGACACAAACCACATTTAAACATTCTGACATTGCAGAGACCTGACAAATTACTGTACCCTGGAGACACTCCACCAGTACATTGTTTTTCCTTTATTCACAGGTTCAGAAACAAAAAAATGTTTCAGTCAAGCCACACAGATGGTATCAGGGCAACCAGCAGCCAGAGTTTAGGCTAAAATGTGGTATTCTGTAGCATGGCGAGGAGGAAGAGGCAGAGACTTCCATGGGGGAGCACACAGAAGGAGCACACTTACCAGAACAGTCAGCGATTCATTTTTTTAAAAGAGGAAACTAAGTTAAGTCTCAGTCTCTCAAATTTATCTCCAGAAAAGAATCCCTACTGGTACAAAAAAAAAAAAAGACTGAAATAAATCTAATAGTAGTAAACTAAAAAACCTCATTACAACAGTCACTGCTGTGAGGGCATCCCTACCATTCAGCACCCCAAATCTGCCTTCTCTCTGGTTGCAGTCTGCACTGCCACGTGTATTTCACAGGACACAAAAGACAGACTTGCATGTTAGACCTGGAATAAAACACTCACTGCATACTTCCATCAGCATGCCTTGAATTATATATCTAATGCTTATTCTAAAAAGGGCTTTCAACAGAACCCTCTGGGAGGAACTTGAAAAACTCATCCCTGTACCATGATCTGTACAAACTGTCTGCCAGCCTTTCAGACCTGTTCAGCCGACCTGCACTGCCTGCCAAACCCTCTGAGGGCATTCCTCACACTCAGCATTGAGCACCTAAACAGGACAATAGGTGCAAACATTTATTTCATTTTCTTCTGATGCTTTTAAAGGGAGGGAGGTGACCAGGAGACACTTGATCTATGACATCTGAATGAAGAGAGGTGGCTCTGAGTGCTTATGAAAAGATATTCCATTAGTACATAATAAATTAAACACAGATGCCTCAATGGCCCTTCTCTTGGAAGGGTTTATTTTATAATAAAACAACTAAATCCCAGTTAAAAGTAGAACAAAATGAAACCTTAGTTACCCGCACAATTATGAAACTATTCCTGTTGTTAATGACCTGATAGAAGCACAACTGCCTGTGGGACAGAGCAGAGGCAAGAGACACACCTCTGGGATGACCCAGCAAGTATGCTCCAAATAATCAGCTCTGGGCAGTGACAATGGATGAGATCGAGTTTCACTCCCTGGCAGGATAATTAAAGGCCTGTTCTGGCTCTGCCTCATACTGCACTCAGACAATTCCTACTGGCCAGTATATTTAAACACATGCACAGTACAGTTGAAAGTCCTGTTGAAGATCTTTAAAGGTTACATTTCAGGTAAGCATGAGTCCTGCTAAACGGACTGTTTTCTTGCTACACATCAAATTTATCTTCATGATGATTACAGAATAACACCATGCAGAAAACACGTTATAAAAATAGACTAAATCACATTACTGACAGAGTCTTCCTTCTAGGAAAAAATAATCAGCAAAAGGAATAAGGGGTTCAATTAAGAAAGAAATAAAAGCAGTGAAGAATTAAGCAGAGTAGTAATAAGCATGACAGTTTCCCTCTGTGGGATGTCTTTTGAAAAGCTGCCACAAGGTAATTTTTCTACAGATCCCGAATTCAAAGAAGCATTTTGGTTACAGACACAAGACAGGCGCTGCTGCAGTTTGAACCCTGGTTTCATTCAGCCACTGCACATGCCTGAATATGCAGGAAAGACAGGAGGAGAAGATGGAAAGAAAAAGCACAAGAGGAGCTGTTGAGTGATAGATGAAGCTGGCTTTTCCAGCTGACAGGGAAGGAAAATAAAATCAGTTCTCTCATGCACTGGCTTTGGCTTATCATGCTCTAGAAGGGGTAGTATTGGTGCTGTACAAAGAAAGAACTACTACCATGAGCAGCTCGGGAAAGGAGGAGATCTTCCCTGCACTAAATACTGTGTTGTAACACAGCAACATCACAGACAGGAGAAGGAATTATTATTAGAAACAGCAAGTGGGCACAGCAAAGGAGGAATATAGCTCCTGACATCGCCCTTTCCTCAGGGACCAGCTGTTGAGCTCCAAATGAAAAATAAAAATAAAATGCAACCACTAGTACATCCGCAGTGTGGATCTCTCCTTCTCTTCAGTTCTAGGAGTAACCCCACAGATCTGTGCTCCTCTGCTGCAGACAGTTCTCCCAGTTTTGACAGCCCAGCTATACCAGAAGCGTCACCAACAACATTTTTTTCTTGGTTTTGATGCTTTTTGCTTTTTTTCATGCAAAAGAAACTATTGGGCTGTTTGCATGACAGTTTTTCTTCTTTTTTTCTGAAGGAGCACACTTTAAAAAAGTGATCTCCAGAGTCTACAAAGGGAGACACCGAAACACTGGTTTAAAAGACTGTTAAAGTAAATCATAAAATGGTGACTTCTAGCAGGACCTATGATTCTCTTGAAGAGTCTGCCAACTCCTCAGGCCATACAAGGCAGAAAAACTGTGCTAGCCAAGCACCACACTTTGCATGCCAGGTTCTTTCCAACACGCTCTCAGACCACACAATTCCAGGTTTGCTCAGTACAGAACATGAGCAGATCTTACCAGTCCATCCCCCTGCAGCAGCCTGGAGGATGGCAAGGCTACCCGAGCAGCTGGGGCTGGGAGCAGCAGGAGGAGGGACACGGGAAAGGGATGGAAGCTCCACGGTGCTAGCCAGTATTTTCAAAGTTA